GAGAATCCCATAAAACGAACCACACCTAACAATGCAGTTATATGTTTTCCCATTACTTTGTTCTAAGAATGCTCTAAATATAAGTGTCCCTAAATGGCATCCATCATTGTTCATGTGTCGACCTTCAACATTCAAAGTATCATTTCAATTTATTTCTAAATATAACAATTCAAAGAGAAGCATACAAAGAACAAAACATGGGTGCCAAGAATTAGAACCTTCAACAAGGGGTGGGGAGGGATAAGTTTACAAGGACTAACTACATCAATAAGCAAAGACATGAATAAAAAGTATGAGAGTGTGTGGAGAAGCAAAAATAGGAACTATTTTAAATATGCAACACTCTGCTTAATCAAGCATTCCTTTGTAGTCTACTTTTGATGAAATTTCCATCCACTCAAACATCTTCTTCTAAATCCTATATTTTTCCAGCAAATTGAAACAATATCTGATCCAAGTTGATATAGTTTTGTGGTCGTATAGGATTAAAGAGAACATGACACCTAGTCCTATTTTCCCCCTATTTTCTATGTTTTCATAATCTTGTGAATCAGAGAAGCCCTAACTATGTAGTTACATGGTCTTCTATTCCTTTTTTTTGAGAAGCTCTGAATCAAAGTGGTACTTAATGGTAACCATTGTTATTCATGTGCCAACTTTCAAAGTGTCATTTCAAATTATTTTCGAATAGAACATTGAGATGAGAAACATACAATGACCAAACTTGGGTGCCAACATATACAACCTCAAATTGGGAGGTGGGGGTGGGGGTGGGGGTGTTAAGATTACAATGATTATTAACTACATCAATAAACAAAGGCATGCAGAAAAAGTATGAGTGAATGTGTATAAGAAATAATAGGAACTATATAAAATATGTAACACTTTTTCTTAGTTTATCATTGCTTTGCACTCTATTTTAGATGAAAATTTCCATCCACCCAAAGCTCTTGCTTTGATTCCTTTATTTTTCCTACGATACCCAACCTTATCTGATTCGGTATCTTGTAGTTTTCCAATCCTATATAGGATTAAAGGGGGCATGCCACCTAGTCGCGTGTTTTTTTCCTATTTCAAAAAAAAACATGTATAACCATTCATATGCTTTTTCCTGTTTCTATGTTGTCGTAATCCTGTGAATCAAAGGATCCCTAACTATGCAATTCTATGCTTCCATATTCCTTTGTTCTAAGAATGTTCCTCAATAAAGATGGTCCTAAATGGCATCCACTGTTCTTCAGGTACAAAACCTGAACATTGAGAGTGTCATTTCAAATTCTTTCGAAATTGAACATTTCGACGAGAAACATACAAAGAACAAAAAAGGAGTGCCAAGGTATAGACTCTTGAAGGGGTTGGTGGTGGGGTATGATACGTTTAAGGGATTTAACTTGCATCATAAGCAAATTAAAGACATGAATAAAAGTAGGCTCAGATGTGTACAAGCAAAACAAAGTAACCATTTTAAATATGCAGCCCTCCTTTCATCATCTATTCTATCCTGCCCTCGACGAGACAGAGAGATACAGCGAACCGATAAGTGTTTAAGCTAAATATGTATACACGCATGACGTAATGTTTCATTATCCATGCATCGGGAAACAAGTCAATAGGCTCAGTTTACAATGCGAATCATACCCAATATGCCTTAACAACAGCGAGCTATGGCGTATTGGCGTTGGAGTCGAATCATACCCAATCGGCATTTTTTAAACCTATGCACATGTATATATATGTACTCCGGGTACCTGTCTGCTCCATAACCGCAAGCTGCCTGCTTTCTTCTTGTCATTCGCTGGTAGGTACTCGTAGAAGACAAGCCATACTAATTCCCGCATCCGTATCTCATTCGTTACACCAACAATTATTAGAGTATATTACTGACATACATGTATTTGTTGGTTGGTATTTTGCAGCTAGTGCACGTACTGGTGCAAGTGATCGATGGGGAGAACCATGGCCGTCGGCGGTGCCGGCGCAAGTGACCACCTGAAGTCGTCGTGGCCGGAGGTTGTGGGCTGGGACGGTATTACAGCGTCGCTCAAGATCAAAGCCGACAGGATGGACGTCTACATAGAGTTGCACTTCGTCGGCGACACCCTGGCGCCGGGTGAAGACAACCACCGCGTCCGCCTTTTTGGCGACCGCGTCACGGGCTTGGTCGCTCAGACGCCCGTCGTTGGCTAGCCAGCCTATCCTGCTTGCGTGCGCGCGCTTTTGCGTGTTGTGTGCCTGCGTGTGTGATGCACCTACGAGCTACGCCCTTATACCAGTATACCACCGCTATGTGTTACTGTACTACGTGATCCGCATACATGAATGAAATAAGCGCCATCCATCTCATTTCTCATATACATATAACTTATTATTAGAGGATAACGCGCGCTTCTCCACACCGTTCTTCATTTATGGGATTGTCTTTTTTTCTCTAGCAGGTTATTGCGTCGGTTCTTACATTTTGGTTTTATCTGTGTTGCATTGAGTTCTAATTATGTTCTGTTTTTTTTCTCATTCGTATTTCATGTTGGGTGCTGCTAGAGACTGTATTTATTCTGAGAGGAAAAATAAATTGTTTGGTGTGTTCTTATGGTGTCTTTAGGCTGGTTGTAATGGAGAGTATCATATACTAGTATCATGTATATGATACTAGTGTATGATACTACCTTCCTAATGCATAGTATCATATATTAGTATCATGTACTACTTTATTTATTGCCATGCATGACACAAAGTAGCATAACATTTATTATGATACGGTATCATGATATGATACTCCACCCTCTCTTTCTTCATTTAATGCTATGACACCTCATCAAAATTGCCTAGTTGGCATGCATGATACTAGCTATGATACTACCATTACGATCAGCCTTTATATATTTTGGTCTTGGTGTTAGTGAAATCGCAGAGTATCATACCACTAGGAGCTCCTATTCCACACTGAAATCATGAATTTGTAAACATAACATTCACATGGGTCAGTTCACTAAGCTCCCGCGAACTTAGCTTGGTTCCTTGATCCACTAGCTCGCTTAGCATGGTTTGCCACTCAATCCACTTATATCTTATAAAAAAAAGTCAGGGATCATTTTCTTTTGAAAAGGTTTGTTAAATCAAGCAGTGTTCATGGATTTTTTAAAATGTTATAAGTAAAAAAACTTAGATTTTGCAAAGAATACAACATAGCAATTTTGAAATAAAGTTATGCAAATTTAACAAAAATCCACAAACTTCTATAATATACAAGAATTTAAAAATATCCATGCATTATTTTACGGAAATGTTAACGCACACGTGTGGGCGTTTGCACATCGCCCACACGCCTCCATCACCACTCATTTTGCCACGTATGAATAGATGACATCAGCAGAATTTTTTTTGGTTTTCAGCTTAAAAATGTTGTATCTCCTAAATAAAAAAGCGAACTAAAAATCCGTTTTCACCATTAAATCCGTCTCGACGAGATCTTCAAAACTAGACCCCATGTTGATATGTTTCGACGAATTTTTTTTGTCAGAAGTTGCCACGATGTTTACACTGCAGTTCCCATAGGGCTTAAAGTAAAGTTGCCATGTGGCAATTTTAGTTTGTAGATCACGGCAATTTTAGTATTTTGATGATGGCAACTCCAGTACTTTGACCATGAAAATTATTTTTTGTATGAACCATGGCAATTTTACGTGCATGTATCATGGCAATTTTAGTTTATGGTTCATGGCAAGTCTAGTTTCTTAATTCCCCGTTTTATAAATGTCAAAATTTACTTTTAAACGTAGAAGAAAATAGCTGAAACATATCATGACAACTTCAGTGTAAACATCATGGCAATTCATATGCAATAGACATGGCAACTTTTAATCCAAAAAAAATTTCATCAAAACATATCAACATGGGATCTAGTTTCGAAGATCTCATCGCGAGGGATTTAATGGTGAAAACGGATTTTCAATCGAATTTTTGTTTAAGAGATAAAACATTTTAAAAACTGAAAATCCAAAAAGATTCCTACATGAATGCATGCGATGATGTGGCAATCTGTTTACATTAGAAACGTGTGGTGCGTCTTCCTTCCTGCCACACATGTGGCAGTTAGCGCGACCCTTATTTTAAAATGTTTGATGATTTTAAATTTTGTTCACAATTTTTTAAATGTTCATATATTTTAATAAATGTGCAAACGAAATTAAAAGAGAAGAAACAACGAAACAAGAAGATAAACCACCGAGTTCACCGTGTGCTCTACTCCTTGTTCCTCCCGTGTGCTAGAGAGAGGTGTCTGTGAGAGAGAGGTGGAGCGACGGTGAGATAGGGAAAGGGCTTGGCGCCAACACCGGCTTTGTCGATTCAGCTCGGGATGCAGCTACTCTTACCTTCTCCACTAGCCGGTCGTAGCACCGCCAGCTAGGGCCATAGCCTCTCGCCTTCGTGCTTGCAGTTAGTTGTTGCATGTTAGAATAAGCCATGACGTCTGGTACGGTCGGACTTGTCGGACGCGACGGGTGCGTGCGGGACGTGCGGGACACACTGGTGTGGTCGGGCTCATCGGAGGCGCCGGGTACACGCGGAATGTGCGGGGCGCAACGGAAATGTGAAGTGTGTGCATGGCATGTGTGTGTTGCGTGGTGATACAGCCGCGTGAGCTAGCTAGCCAGGTAGTTAGGGCATCTCCAGCCGTTGGCCCCCCAGGAGGGGCAAAAAATCGCCCCCTGGGGGCGCGCCGGCGCAAAACTGCGCACTGGGGGCGTGATGCCCCCCAGTCGCGGCTGATGAAGCTATACACCTAGGGTAGGGGCACGGACCTGCCTGAAGAGCCCCACCCAAGGACATCCCTAGAAGAAGTCACCTTTAAATCGACTTAAAAGTATCCCACTCGACGGGTCCAAGACACTCGACCAAGAAGCCATCACTCGACCATGAAGCCAACCACTCGACTGCCAGGAGACTAAAGTCACTCCGCATGCAAACAGTCGGCTATTAAGTAGTCTTTATGGTCATTATGGCACTTTATTAGGGGCGTTACCAGTAACGCCCAACCTTAAATGTACCTTAAACCCTGCATTTCTGAGGGCAGGAGAGGACCGGCGAACTCTATATAAGCCACCCCCCTCCTCAGTATGAAGGGTTCGCACCCCTGTTATTCACACACCTATAATCCAATCGACCGCCTCCGGGCACCGAGACGTAGGGCTGTTACTTCCTCCGTGAAGGGCCTGAACTCGTACATCTTGGTGTGTTTACGACTTCCCAATAGCTGAGATCTAGCCTCTCCATTCATACCCCCCTACATCACTGTCAGAGTTAGAACCACGACAGTTGGCGCCCACCGTGGGGCAGGAATCTTAGCGCTTAATTGGAGAAGTTGCGATTCTTCCGATCCCTTTGATCATGGTTTTGTGCGGAGTTTTGGTGGAGGGCCGCGAGATCCGTCTCGGCGTGCTCACATTCTTCGCGGACGACTCCGCTTGGCTTCAGGAGGCTCCACTCGACATCGACGCGCTCCCCATCCGCGGCGCGACGCATTTCCGCGAATGCGTTCCTGGCGTCCTCCTGCGGCAGCCGTCGACCCAGTATCAGTCGGCCCATGTGTTGTCTCCCTGCCCTGTCTTCCACCGGCGCAAGCGCTCCGGTCGGTCGAGACTCCAGCGGTGGGTGAGGCATGTCGTGGCCCGCCAGTCGGCAGCCCCGCAAGTTGCGGCAATCGAGCCCGACGAATCCCTCTGCGGCCTGTTCGACCTATCGACTGGCTCCGTGGAGACCTCGTCCGAGTGCGACAGCAGCGACCCGGCGGCTGAAGTTCTGGTGGTCGATGGAACGCACAGTCCTCCCGGTTTCCCTCGCGCTGATGGAGGCGCAGGCGGGGGCGACCCGTCGCATCCCCATGATGAGTATCTCCCCGAACCTCTCACGTCATTACAGCGAGAGGAGCTTTGCCGCCGGAACATGGACGCACTCCACACTCCTATTGTCGGAGAAACCCCCGAGGCCCGGGCCTTGGAGGACGCGCGCTTGGCTAACCTGACCGAGCGCACTCGACTGGAGAATCTACAACGAATACTCGACGAGCAAGCGCGTCAGTGAGCTCCTGAGTCCAGTCGACGACAGCAAGCTCCCGAGTCCAGTCGACGTCAGCTCTTCCCACAGCCGCAGGTATATCGAACTCCAGTTCAGAATTTGGCCGCCGCGGCCCGTATAGCAGAATCAATTCAGCCCTCCCAGTCGGAGGCTGGCAGGGGCTTGTTGCAGATCAGAGCGTTGCTCCGAGCGGCGGGAAACCAGAATTCCGCTGTTTCTCAGTCGCGGAATAGGATCCACAGTCGATCAGTGGCAACGGACACAGTCCAGTCGGCTCACAGCCCGAGATCGCCCCCGAGGCGTGAAGGACGTGGAGACCGGCATGATCAGTACAGAAGAAATGAGCAGTATGATCACCGATCCGACCGTGATGATCGACGTCGAGTGCCAACCCCTCCCCCGAGGAGTGGGTCATATGCGCCTCGACATCGAGATGACAGGCGCCCCCATAATGTTGGGCAGAGGATTCCAGTCGACCCCAGGGACCCAGGCTTTGACGCGAGATCCATCCTCGTTCAAGGTTTGGTTGACAGGAACATAGCTCATCAAGAGGGCCACAACAGAGATGCACCCGCCGGCAGCAGGGTACATGCTTCGGGGCCAGAATGTTTCAGTCGAGCCATCAGGGCCGCAGTGATTCCTCCCAACTTCAGGCTGGCGACTGGAGTCAGCAAGTTCACCGGTGAATCCAAGCCTGACACTTGGCTCGAAGATTACCGAGTGGCTATACAGATTGGCAGTGGCAATGATGAGGTGGCCATGAAGCATTTGCCCCTCATGTTAGAGGGCTCAGCCAGAGCGTGGTTAAATCAGTTGGCACCCAGCAGCATCTACACTTGGGGGGACCTCTCCCGAGTGTTCGTCACAACCTTTGAGGGAACATGCAAGCGACCTGCAGGCCTTACAGAGTTGCGGTCTTTGCAGAAACCGAATGAAACTCTGAGGGATTACATCCAGAGGTGGATCACATTGCATCACACAGTTGAGAATGTGCCAGACCACCTAACAGTTTGTGCCTTCAAGGAAGGCGTTAAGTACAGGGAATTAAATCTGAAGTTCGGTCGAACTGGGGAGATGTCTCTGAATCGGATGATGGAGATTGCCACCAAGTACGC